GTGTAGCTTCGCGGGCGGCCTCCAGTGAGCTCGGGGCCGCGCAGCCTGGCATCGACTCTCCTCGTTGTAGGCTCTGCGTTTACGTTTTGGTGACATCTTTGAAAGAGACCCACGAGGCGTGGCAGGCGTCCCCGTGGTGACATTAGGGAGAACCTCGCGGCAGGGGCAGGCCCCAGGGCGCCAGGCGACACCCCCGCGGCCGTCCCCGAGACGACTTAGGGTGCACCCTCCCCTCTAGTCCGGCAGGACCGCCCTGCAGATCGGGGACAGCCTGAACGCGGAAAAGGCCACGCTGATCGTGGTGCACACGGACGGGAGCATCGTGGAGACCACGGGGCTGAAGGGGCCGGCCGCTCCGCTCACCCCAGGTACGGCCCGCCCGCCCCACAGCCCGTGGGGTGTATCCTGGGGTTGACTTGCTTATTTTTGTAGTCAGTTTGGAATAGCAATTATTGTTATTTTTTAAAACATATCTTTATTGCTTTCAGAGAGGAAGGGAGGGAGAGAGAGATAGAAACATCAATGATGAGAGAGAATCATGGATTGGCTGCCTCCTGCAAGTTGGACTGAGCCCGCAACCCAGGCATGTGCCCTTGACCAGAATCGAACCCGGGACCTTTCTGTCTGTAGGCCGATGCTCTATCCACTGGGCCACACCAGCCAGGGCTGGAACAGCAAATGTTATTAAGTGGGGTTTTTCCGGGCTGAGGAAGAGCTGCCTGTAGGGCCTCATCTGGAGGGGAGGGCGGTGCTGCAGGGACCGCCTGGGACCCGCTGTGGGAACTCAGCGAGGCCACTGACCGTCCTGGCTCCACCCGGCGCATTCGGGGTCTCACCGCCAAATGCTTTCTGTGCCAAGGTCCTCAGTCTCCTCCCACCCCCCTGGCGCCCGGGCAAGAGAAAGGGGGCAGCAAGTACAACTGGGACCCGTCGGTGTACGACAGCGAGCTGCCCGTGCGCTGCCGCAACATCAGCGGCACCCTCTACAAGAACCGGCTGGGCTCAGGTAGGCAGGCCCTGCCGCCTCGCATCGGAGACCCCTGCGTGGCAGCCCCACGGCAAGCCTGGGCCCGCAAACTAGTTAAGGACACAGGCGAAGTCACGGGCTCCCCAGGAGGTCCGGGTGGTGGTGGTGGTGGGGAACCAGGAAGCGCGGTGACCCAGGCGAGGGAGAGGCGGGACCGAGGTGCCTGTTCCTGGCTCAGATGGGGACCCGAGGCAGCGGGCTCTGGCTGGGCAGCTGCCTCGAGCTCAGCATGGCAGCGTGGGCAGTGGCTGCAGATCCAGGACGCGGGCAGATCTGCCCCGCAGCTGGGGTCCATGCAGGAGTGGGTGAGGTCCCGCAGGCTGGGACCAGCCGACAGGAGGCGGGAACCGCCGTCCTTCGTTCCAGGAGGCCGGGGCCGATGCATCAAGCAGGGGGAGAACTGGTACAGCCCCACGGAGTTCGAAGCCATGGCCGGGAGAGCCAGCAGCAAGGACTGGAAGCGGAGCATCCGCTACGCGGGCCGGCCCCTGCAGTGCCTCATCCAGGTGCGC